ACTGAATTTTACACTTATTGGTTTGGCTACAAAAGTTTTTACTGTTAGCTAAACGGCACTGGCCATTAAAAAACAAGGCTATTGTCACTTCACAGATTGTGTTCAGTACTACTTTACTGCGCTTTTACGGGAGTGTTGTTGCGGACGACAAGAGGAGCCCGCAATCCTAATCGCCAGGTTGTTATTACGCATGCGTTGCAAGTATGTAGCAAGTTTTCGTTTGGACTTCCACTCAAGAATGAATGGAATGCACAGAGCGCAATTTGATCACTGAAGTGCCTTGTGCTCCTAAAGATGGCGATGCTGGAAACCCATGTAACAATCGGCCCATATCACTGCTAGCGGTATCATCCAAAGTAAATGAGAGGTTGGCTCACAGACAATTTGTCAAGTTTTTAGACGATAACAACAAGCTATCACAATTCCAAAGTGGCAATCGTAAACACCATTCCACTGAAACGGCTCTTCTGTCTGTCACTGATGACCCATTAAAAGCTATGGATGAAAAGAAAATCTCAATATTGGTGTTGATGAACATGTCAAAATTCTTTGAGAGTAAGAACCACGATATGTTGCTATTTAAACTTCGTAGTCTTGGTGGGTCTCCATCAGCGCTTGAATGGTTTAAAAGTTACCTAAAAGGAAGGCACCAGTATGTTCGTATTGGGAATGTGGTTTCGCAGTCACTCCCAGTTGATTATGGAGTTCCACAGGGGTCCATTCTTGGCCCTGCTCTGTTTATTGTTTATATAAATGATTTATTAACTGTACCTAAACTTTGTCAAACTGCTTGTTACTTTGATGATTCTAAACATTACTTGAAATTTAAAACTAATGAGCTATGTAACGCAGTCTCCGTAGTTAACTTTGATCTCAACGAAATCTGTAGGTGGTGCTGTCACAATTCACTGCTTGTGAATCCAGATAAAACTACACTTCTTGTCATAGGCGTGCCGCAATTGCTACGACAGTTACCTGACTTTACCAATGACTTTTTGCGGCAAACCAATATCATCGACACCTGTAGCAAAGAATCTTGGAGTGTTTTTAGATCAGTGCCTCTCCTTATATGATGAACACATACGTAAAACTGTTGCTAGTTGTAAGAACAAACTGATCCAGATCAATAGAATTAAGCATTTACTTGATAAGGAAACACTTTTGTTAATCATTAATAGCTTTGTTTTTAGCGGGCTGTTTTATTGCTCCTCAGTTTGGAGCAATACCTCGGAAAATAACATTCATAAGCTTCAGCTTGTTCAAAATTTTGCAGCCAGGATTATCTTGGGCTTTCGCAAATATGACCATATCTCTGCAGGTCTAAGATCACTTGTGGCTAAGTGTCAAACAAAGACTTATGGTCAATGATGCAGTTATGATGCATGTACGTCCCAAAGGTCTGTCACCTAGCTACTTGTCAGATAAATTTTCAACTCGACCTGTTGTCCATGATAGAGAGACAAGATATAGGGATAGCCTCAATATTCCATCTTGTAGAATTAATGCTGGCCAACGTTCTTTTATTACCGTGGTGTGAAAATATGGAATAATTTCTTATTAATGAACTGATTTGTAACATGAACTAGACTGGATGTTGAAATTTGTACAAAGTTACCATTTAGTTATTGTTGTATATAGTTTATTTAAGTTATTTAATTAAATAATTAATTTACTCATCTTATTTAATTTAATTTTAATAGTGATGCTGAAAACTAATGAAATAGGAATTTAACTAATGACATAGGAATTGAAACGTTTCATCAAACAAGCAATTCATTTTGTCATTTAGTGACGCTGAGGTAAGCCTTCGATTGAAAACTTATTTCAATCCATATATTTGCGATAATCTTTTTAAAGCTTTTTGGTGATGCTGTTGAATTCTAAAGGATCGTCGCTTTTTCAATGCAGACAACTGCTCGATCAGTTTGAATAGGAGCTAGGGGTTTCCTGTTCATGATTCTTTACTGACCGAATCATGGGTGTAAAATAAATCCGAACTCATCGCCGGATCTTGCCGACTAGGCGCACTCGAATTCCTCGTTCATTCTTCTGAAAGTGCGAATTTGCATGGCCGTTAATCCGACTCTAATGATTAACTTGGCAGGCCGTTGACCATTTAATTTTTTTCCGATTTGTTGCAGGTATACCCAAGAAAATCCAAATCAAACTAATCGACAGAGATGGGAGCCAATGGGGACATGTCTTGGATGGAGGGGAGTTTTCTGTCATTACGTAAGTTTTTTTGTTGCTTATTAAACTTGACTTCTTAATCGGATGTGAAGTTGAGCAGAGACCGAATGCTTTTTTCTACGTTTTCTGCCGGAAACGTTCAATAAAAACAAGTTTTCAAGTCTAACGAAGTAATGCCTGAAAGCGACGTAAACAACCCTAGTTAATAATGCCGGGGCCTTTCAATCTACTGCAGTTAATAAAGTAGCATTTTTCTTTTTACAGGTGCGATTTTATCTGTCCTGACGTTTCCACTTCAGATAGCCATGATAGTTATCGGTAAGTTTATTAACAGCCCTGGTACATACTTGTGGCAGGTGAGCACATTCACCAAGCCTCGTGATTTGCGAAGCATTACAAAATAAAACTCTCAAGGCAGCAGAGTTGAAAAGAATAGCCATAGCCAAAGAGTGCAAATGAAAGGAATTTATTTCACAAACGGAGCTTGGTACGTGGTACCAATACTATTGATCAGAATTATTCCGTCTGCCGTAGTCTTTGACTGTCTCTGATGAAGGCTACCGCAAAAATTGTTACACTCATCAATCGGACGATAATATTCCACTTGCTCGAATGAAATGAATTCTTGTTTCAAACCATTTACAAAAAGAAGATAGTTTTGAACCTAGGATCAAAGCGGAGTTTAGAGAAAACAGTAACTTTTGAATTGCTGAGTTTAGTTATATTCAGGCGGGAATTTTAAGAATTCAAGAGGAATCCTAGGAGAAGAATGAAGAAAGTGTTGTTAAAAAACCTGACAAGCCCAACTTCTTTCAGTATCTGTGAAGGTTAAAGAGGTAGTCTCATGAGCTGCGCATGCTCCGGAAATCGCTGTCAAAATTGCTCTTCCCGTTTCTCGTTTGAATTCAGTTTTATTGAAAAAGGGGTCGTTTGGTTAACACAAGACTTATACTTCCCGCCAAAATGCTGCTTGTTCCAGTAAGTGTTCTTTCCTTAGCGGATAGATTATACTCTGGAGGGTTCTAAATTTTGACTGAGCGAACAAATATGTTATTTTTGTCGCTTGTTTCACACTAAGGAGGCAACGAAGAGAGGAAATGCGTGTATTAACATACGGGCATTTCTGTAAATTCCAGAAAGGCGGGAAATCTTGCGACCAAAGCTAAAAAAAGAAGCATCTCTTACAAAAAGACTATAAATGAAACTACGGTTTTACCCTAGACATTTTACCCTCGACACTACCCTCGACTCTCGAAACTTTACCCTCGACAAAAACCTACACTCTTTGTCCTCTGATGCAAAAGCATTTTCTTTAACCTCTTTTGAAACGTAAAGCTCTCTGTTGCGGCTAAATAAGAGTTTCTGTTCTTTAATTTTCTCCAAATTGCCTTATAGATCTGGATAACTAATCGATTTTCCTATGTCCCTGAATATGATGGTTTCCTGCAATGTTTTGTCACGCTGGGTTCACTTCGTTAGTGTTATATACAGGAGGTTAAATTTCACTAGCACTGGCTCTTTTTCATAAAAATGTTTTTCCGGCCCGGGCTTAATATCCTTATTTTCTGACGATTTCAGGCTGAAAATATTCAACACATACAAAAATGAAAATATACAAACGTGCCGCGAAATCTCTGTCGCTGGAACCTTCATATCTTACCTCCAATTTCACACCAAGCCACGACTGGAATATCTTCTCTGTCTAAAAAAAATACGTTTGCGTCTCGTAAACCAATCTTTCTTATACCTGCTTGAGATCAGAAATCGTTCTTTTGCCACCCGAATTCTATCTTTTACCGCCATGGCCGGCTCCACCAGTTGTGGCCGCCATCTTGTTTTTGCCAGATTAATCTGGAAAAATTCTGCCGAATTTTTCAAGAGTTACGTTTCGGCTCACACATGCGCAGTTCATGAGATTTACCCTTTAATAATAAGCATTATTATATGGCTACAATAGTACGCGCGGTCCAATTGGCTGTTGAGCGAGCAATATTTCCTTTTAATGACCGGGCATTATTAGCCTTGTGTCCAAGGCATATACAATCTGTGTTTGACTTGATAGTGGACATCCATGTCATGGTCAATTGACAGCTGTCAAAAAAGGTATTCGCTGACCAAAATCACATGACTGTATCGCGGGCTCAAGTGTACAACCCATTGAAGTGACGTGTTTTTTCAAAGTTATCTGCTGACCAGTTATTGGTTTTAATTGATTGCAAGTTCAATAACTTCCAGTGTTTTATATTAATAGTGCTAAAAAGGTAATGTAATAAATAACTTATTAACCTCGCTATCGCTCGGTCAATACATGAAGGCCTCGGTCTGCGATTTCCCTGTAATGACCAAACGGATGAGGTTTAATAAGAAGGATATAATAAACTTTCAGGACACCTCTGTAAGAGCAGTGCACAAGGTGATGTAAGTGCCACTTCGTGGAATTACCATTAAACCATTATCATGATTAACGATTTAGAAATATACATACAAGAAATCATTAATGATAAAACACGACGTTTTGGGGTCTTCTTGACTCCATTCAGTTCAAGGTACAGTACAGGTACATTATTAATTGATACGTTAAGTGACGACTTGCTTAAGCATTCCTACATTAGAGATCGGGCAAAAACGAATCAGTTTAGAGAAAACTGCATAATTTTGCCCGACAACTTCCTCTATATAGCTTTGCAGGAACATTTTGTAGGCGAGTAAGGTGAAAAGTTACGTTCTTATAACTTAGCACGTACTTTTGATCTAACAGCAACAAAATCGCCGACTTTCATCATGTTTCGAATCCTTCGGCAGTGTTACTAATGATCGTGTTTTTTTTAGGTGCTAAATACAAGGATGACTGTCCTGTGGAAAACATGATCCCAATTTACTTAATAGTTGGTGGATCAGCTGGTCTATTGAGCACTTTCTGCGCATGCGCAGTAGAATACAGAGCAGATCACGTGATCAAACAGTTGTGCAGACTCGTCTTACTGCCTCTGTTTGCTTGGTTCATTGCTGGCAACGTATGGATTTATAAAAATTACGAACCTAACTACACCGATCCCGAGAGCCCCTATTTCTGCCACAAAACGCTGTATCTATTTGCTTTCTGGGTAATTACTTCGTATTATATCTTTTTTGGTGTCGTGTTAGTTATCGGGTGTGTGACGAGCATTTTAGTTAATCTTTTTCTTTGGCTGTTTGAAGTTGACCGGCAACGCGGGGAGGCCGGCTAAAACCAACTTGTAACTGAAGCCTGATAAACAATTGGAACTCTGTTTTTCAACCTTTTACATAGAATTAAAGGTACCGCGAGGTATATGGACATCCGCCTAAGGACGTTATGTTTATCTGAGATTAAAGAAATAGCTTTAAAAAAGGACGGCCTTCGCCATTCACTTTGACACGTAACTGCGCATGAGAAATTGACCATTCGCAACGATGTATTGAGTTACAGAAAGTGTAAAGAAATTTCAATTAAAACTAAATTGAAGAATTATACTTTTTTTGGTTCCAATGTATAATTCTAGGGTTTTTCAACTATACGCAACATTTTGAACGACCCATTACCTTTTTCCTTTAAATTCCCATATGCATGTAAGAGGCCACAAACAGTCCGGGCCATAACCATTTCTGGATATCGGTTTCGTGCCTTCTGATTGGTTGAGGTCAAAACCAAAACAATGTAAACTTGGCGGAGATATACTGGAAATAAGTAGAAGTTAACC